TGGTGGCACAGGCGGCGGAGGCCACCGTTGAAGCACCGCGCCTTTGAATTGAATCTTGCCACGTAACTCCAGTTTGAAGAGCCTCGGCGCCGGTTAGGAGCACGAGGCAAAACCAAGGTTACGTACACGTTTACGATGTCCGGACGTTGCTCGCGAACCAGTTTTAACAGGTTACGGTACCTGGTTAGTGCCAAAGAGACGCCGACGGTGGCGAGGTCATTTGTCCCCAGGTGCAGGATGAGGCGGTTGACACCTCGGGGCACGAAGTCCAACAGATGCCTGGCGTCCATGATGCACGCTCCTCGTTGGGAAATGAAGGCGGGCGATTCCCCGTTGCACGGGTCGAAGTGGTGGTGTAAATATTTAACTTGAGAGTGGCGGCGGGAGCGGCGGGCCCCCTGCGGGATGCCGCTCCTTCGGACGACTGTGCCCATACATCGTTGCATCTTCGGCGCCCGGTCCCGGCGGACTTGCCGGACCCTGGATTCGGCGGCGGTCTCGCAGAGTTCCCGCCGCTCCCGTCCTCGGCGGTCGTCCCCGAGTGCTTCGAACAGTCGGACCATGGACTCGCCTGCGGCTCGTCGGCAAACGCCACCCCTCCGCCGTCGGAGGACAACCCCAAGCGTCCCGCCCTGGCGACCCGCCCTGCGGGGAGCGTGAATCGAATCCCTAGGCCCACCCTTCCACCCAGATACAACCTGCGGAGGACGTTCGGCGACGTTGTCCGTCCCCAGCGAGATTGACGACCACCGCGGGACACATCCCGAGCTCCCCCTGTACTGAGTGAGACCCACCCAGACCGCGACAACTTGCCATCTCGGACTTTTTTACAACTTAGAAAATTAGCTGACAAAAGAGTACGCCACGATTTGCATGCCGCATACCTTAACTATTACCTTGACGCGCGCATCGCCCCTAAAGGCTTACAAATTACCTTGAAGCCTAGCATGACAGCGCTGTCTCAGAGTGAACTGGAGAGATGGAATACGGTTCTCACTAACGCGTCTCTCGAGTTGGTGAGGATAACTATTGAACATTGCGAAACAGCTTCAGCCGCGGTTAAACAAGCCGAACGTAATTTACTCCGCGATCGTGATTTAGCACAGCATGAAACCGTGGCTTTAAAAGTGTTCGAAGAGAGAAAACGGGGGATGCTCAGTGAGGTAAAGGAACACAAGTTGACTAGGGATAATGTTGGACCTCTTCCGGCAGGTGTGTTTCAACGCAACGTGCAGAGCTGCAGGGCCGAATCCCATAACGCAGTTAGCTCATCAGACGTAGAACTACCCACTCGGGATCCACCGAAGAGAGTGTGCGAACGAGAAACGCAGAATTGTATTCCCGAATCCACTAACATAGTTAACTTATCAAACATAAAACTGTCCACCCACGAGACGTCGCTCCTCTCGCGGGGTCTCAACTTCTGCCCCACAACAGGCCGATATGATGACTTTTCTTTGCTTCAAGACCTAGACAATTTTGCTCGCAACCTTCGACTTCAGGAGTTCTTTTTCGACAGGCCCCGCGAAGGCGCGTCTGCTCTTCCATCCACATCGACTGGTTGGACTCCCAAAACTGGCAGAGACAAGCATTTAGACATTTTTATTAATGCTGTTCAGAAAGACATCGTAGCGGCATTTAGAAAACAGCAGCCTAATCACTACAACCTCTCCGCTCCAAAGCGGAGGGCACTCAGGTCCCTTCGCGAGAGAGACGACATCGTGATTAAACCTGCCGACAAGGGGGGCGCCATAGTCATTCTTAACACCAGCGATTACTTACAGGAAGGCAATAGACAACTTAACGATGCAAAATTCTATTGTCATCTCAGAAACGATCCGACCAGGCAACATGCCGACATCATACGGGAGCAGCTGGGCCAGCTGGTAGAACAGGGGGAAATTACCGAAAATACGGCAAAGGCATTAACTGCTAAAAACGCCGTGCCAGGTAGATTTTACATGCTACCAAAAATTCATAAAGAAGGGAACCCAGGCCGTCCCATTATATCTGGATCAGGAACCCTCACCGAACCAATATCTAGCTATATTGATAGCTTGATTAGGAACATCCCACCCAGCTTCCCATCTTACATTCAGGACACGAACCACTTCCTTAGAGAAATTTCTAAAATTAATATCCCTAGAGATGTTTTTCTCGTTACGATGGACGTGTCGTCTTTATATACGAACATCCCCCACAATGATGGCATAGAGGCCCTTGTGAATGCGTACGACACTCGCAGGAGTGACGATTTACCAGATAAGCATGTCGTGGCTACACTCTCGAAACTGGTGCTTGAGTTAAATAGCTTTGAATTCAATGGAAGTTTCTTCCTTCAAACCAGCGGCACTGCAATGGGAACGAAGATGGCACCTAACTACGCTAATATATTTATGGGAAATTTAGAATCCAACTTTTTGGCATCGCGTTCACTTAAACCACTTTTCTATAAAAGATACATTGAAGATATATTTCTTATCTGGTCGCATTCGGAAGAAGAGCTTCTCGAGTTCATTAGAGCTTTTAATTATGCGCACCCCTCCATTTGTTTTACACATAGTTACTCAAGATCTGAAATTACCTTTCTAGACACAAGAGTGCTAATTAATGACTCTAAATTGGCCACTCAACTGTACCGAAAACCTACGGACCGTCAGAAATACTTGCACTACGACAGCTGCCACCCACGGCACTGCAAAAATAGCATACCTTATAGTCAGGCTCATAGGTTTAAACGTATATGTTCCAACAACGACGATTTTAAAATAAACACCGATCAATTACGCCAAGTCCTGAAAGAACAGATGTACCCGGGAAAAATCATAGACGATGCGATCAATAAGGCACAGGTCTTTGATCGTCGCCTCTTGTTGAGTGAGCGGAGCCCTCAGACAGAGGAGCGTCGGGCGAACCTCGTACTAACTTTCAACAATAAGACTCCGAATGTCGCACCCATAATAAGAAAACATTTTAACATTTTACAACAAAGTGAACGCCTCGCAAGGATTATCCCCTCCGTTCCCAGAGTGGTCTACAGACGCTCACGCAATCTTAGGGACGCCATAGTTAGGTCTAAGACAACTTACACTGAAAGCACTGGCAGTCGCCCTTGTGGAAGAACAAATTGCAACGTCTGTCAACACGTGACACCTAAAACCACGGTAGAGAGTACGAATTCCAATTTCACCTACATAATCCACGGAAACTTAAACTGCAGCACAAGTAATGTGATATACCTCCTCACATGTGGCACCTGCGGTAAGCAGTACGTGGGCCAAACCAGCACACCTTTCCGATTGAGGTTTAACAACCACAGGGCGCATGTAAATTCATTTCCCAAACTCCCCCTTTCAAAACATATGGCTTTACCCAAACACACGTTTGACAAAGTGGACGTTACATTTTTACAATCCAATTTCAAAAGCAACCGTGATCGCGAGCAGAGAGAATCGTATCGTATTTACAAATTTAGTTCAATCCGGGCCGGTATTAATGAAGATCCAGGTATAATGTCATCTCTGCATGCAATCTACCTTGATCCCCCTGTAGCGGAGTGACTGTAGCTAATTCAATCGCATTCGTTCAACCCTTTAATTTTTTCGTGTACATTTCTGTATAACCTGTCGATGACTCAACGGGTCATGACCTTCAACAGGCATCTTCCACCTGTTGCTCCTTGTTGAATGTTCTGGGACTGTGGTTAACACTGTTATCATTAGGACTTTCTTTTTTTTTTTTTTGCAGGAGATTTGTTTATGTTCTTCGGCCGAGCGTTTGCCTAATTTAATGCGTGCGCTTTTTTTTTTTTTAATGCAGAGGATTTGTCTATGCGCGTTGGCATTGATTTACTCTGTGTGCTTATTTCAACTTTTCTTTCTCTATTTAGGAGTTTTTTCTATGTGTTTTGGCGTTATTTACTGTGTAAGCTTATTACATCCCCCCCCCCCCCGCTTTTTTTTTTTTTTTGCTTTCTTTGACTTTGCGTCTTTCCGCGGCGTGCGTTGCTGGCCATCTGGGCCGATCCAACTATGTGAACGTTACTGCGCCTTCCGCACGTGACGTTCCTGGGGTCACGAAGTCTGACGTGGCCTTTGGTTTGCTCCGATGGCTTGCGGCGTCTGCTGCGGCCGTGCGTGGAGTGGGGGGAGTACAGCAGCGTTTTTTCACTTGGGCTCTTTTACTTGGGCATTTTTACACGTGATCTGACAGGTGACGTGGCCCGGGTGGGGAAAGCGAAAACAACCCTGTAACCGACTCTGGCAACCAGTCTTGAAGAAGGCCTGTCTCAGGCCGAAACGTCGACTCACTAAATGCTTTAAAACTCCAACAACGTTTCGAAGTGCGACTTTATTACTTTATAGTCTTCGGCATCCTACGCTGTCTTTTCTTTGTCTATATATAAATAAATAAATATATATATATATATATATATATATATATATATATATATATATATATATATATATATTTATATATATATATATTGTGGTGAACGGAAAAAGACGAGAATAAAGAGGACCGACGACTGGGGGGCGAGCGGGCACGCGGGGCAGTCAGAGCTTGAACACCGCGAGAACTGGCGTTCGTTTTCTCGTCTCCACATTTGGCGTCTTCAACGTGGGGCCCGACATCACCGCAGCTACACGTCGACACGACCAAGGTAAATCTATCGCGCTTTGGCAGCTCGCGCTCGAGACCAGGGACAAAATCCTGCCGGAGAGGGCCCTCCGATTGAATGAGACCCACATACAGTTGGAGATGGATCCGATATTGCACCATTGGGGTCAGCTTCAGCGCCAGATATCGCGCACCCCGAGTCGCGCGAATTGCAGGCGGAGAGGCGCCCCTCCCCGACACCGAGAGATGCCTCCCCTAACACTGACGGTCCGCCGGTAGGAACCTTTCAGGACCAACTTCCCCTACTTCTTGCCGGTATGATTAGACTACTGCAAGAGCGCGAGGCCATATCTAGACTTCTCGTACAGCCAGCTACAGATATGCCGCAATGGCGGCTAGAAATACCGAAATACGCTGGATACGCCGACACAAAATCAGTCGCCGACTTTCTTTTAGAGCTTCGCGACTATCAGGAAGCATCCGGTATATCCGAGGTAGCGCTGCTGGCTCGCGTCCTCCCGGTCGCATTGACAGGGAGTGCGGCAGACTGGCGCAGGAGGCAGCAATCGTTCTTGAACTTCGACGACTTTGCAGAACGCTTCAGAAGCGAGTTTTTACCACCAGGTTACGCTGAACGTATCCGGGACGAACTTCGGGCACGGACGCAACGCAGAGATGAATCTTTAGTTGAGTTTGTGCGCGCCCTACAGACGCTCTACGACAGCGCCGAACCGAACGCTTCGCCAGCCCAAAGGGTTGCACGGGCCATCCGACAAAGCCATCCGCAGTTTCACCCTTACTTGCGAGGTCGCAGCTTTTCAAACTTAGACGCTATGGCCCGGGCGGCCAGCCAGAGTCAGGCTGACATTATGGCTGAGCTCAATTATAGACCACCTCACCAACCTGAGGACTCTTTGGAACCCTCAAGCGCCTGGTCCGGCAGGACACCCTACCGGGGTGCTGCAGATGGCCGAGCTCAGTATCCGCGGCACCACCCTGGAACAATGCCGCGTGCGCTCGATCCACACGCGTACGCTCTGACGCAAGACGCCCATGCTCTTCCCGGTGGTCGAGCCTTGGTGCAGAGACTTGGTGCTCCGCAGCCAGAAACGCAGTATGAGGCACGGAGATGGATCACGGACCGGGACAGAACTAACTATACGGCTGCCATGCCCCGGCGACTCCAGCCATCCCAAACTTCGGAGCAGATACCGTCACCTCGTTGTTTTCAATGCGGTGGCGTAGGTCATTTCCTCAGAAACTGTCCGTCTTCTTCTACAGCCTTCAGTCGGGAAACGAGGTAAGCCGGTGATAATGAGGGCTTGCCAGTCGCCGGTGAATTTTCAATCCAGGCCAGAAGTCTCCCGCACCTTTTGGTCCTCACGGTTCCGTGAGGCAGCCATGGTTACACGAGGAGACCCAACCTTCGACCTGCCTTTCCACGATGGCACGGTCATTAATGCTGGCCGGGCGAATGGAAACGTGTCCGAGGACCAGGCTTCGCAAAGCCAGTGGTTCCTCCAAGACATGGAGGTGCCGGACGAGGCGCCTCCCGTGGCGCCTCCCGAGTCCCGACATGTCCGAGGATCCCACAGCGGCTAACGGTGGACCCTTCGGAGACATGGAGGTGCCGGACGAGGCGTCTCCCGTGGCGCCTCCCGAGTCCCGACATGTCCCAGGATCCCACTGCGGCTAGCGGTGGACCCTTCGGAGACATGGAGGTGCCGGACGAGGCGTCTCCCATGGCGCCTCCCGACATGTCCGAGGATCCCACTGCGGTTAGCGGTGGACCCTTCGGAGACATGGAGGTGCCGGACGAGGCGCCTTCTGTGGCGCCTCTCAACATGTCCGGGGATCCCACTCCAGCAAGCAGTGATTCTCCCCCAGATGTTCCCGGAGTCACTGAGCATGACATCGCAAAGCTGAGTATCTCATCGGAATTGAATAACGGTTGTAGGACTAGGACCGTTCGTACATCTCGGGACAATAACCCGCGACATGTCAAACCCAAACCACGCTCCAGTAGTGAGTGGATAGGACGGGCCGGTCAATGGGTTGCCCGCTTCACCGCAATGATGACGGCACTAAAAACATGGTTTAGCGTCCGTCGGGTAAGTGGGCCATCATCGGCAGTGACATGGAAACAAATTCGCGCCAAACTGCTTTGGCCATTTCGTTTTTGTGCACCAGTCGATCTTGTTCCATCTCTTGATGCGACGCGACGAACCAGAAACGGAGCCAGAGAACCTTACATCATAGTTGACATTGCCGGGCAGAAAATTGCAGCCCTTTTAGATACGGGTGCCACAATATCTCTTTTCGGAGACTTTGTAAAACAATTGTGCAAAGACCGTAGTATATCTATGCGATCCTCACAAACAAAGTTGCGTATGGCATCGAACGAAGTAATATCCGCTAGCGAAGGAGCTCGCTTGCAACTCTCCTATGATGGACGGAAATGTCGGCAATACGTTACTTACCTGCCAGGTCTCGCTTGTGGCATCATTCTTGGGAGGGATTTTATAACCAGAGAGGGCATCATCCTAGACCTCGCAATGGGAGAGTACAGGTATGGCTGGAACTCAACCCTTTTAAATTTTCCAGTGAGACCTCAGACAATACCAGTGCGTCTCCCACGAGGCGAAGCACGCCGTTCTGAACAAAATGCAGGCGTTTCGCAGATCACCGACGTAGGACAAAATATACGTGTAGCCTTGAGTTCATTCTCTGGGACAGATATTCAGCGCGAACGTCTTGCGAAAGTGCTGAAGCCGTTTTCTCACATGTTCACTGAGATTCCCGGGAAGACTAATATACTAGAACATCAAATCGATACCGGGATGCCTGACCAATTCGATTCAACGCGCGCCCCTTGAGTGTTCATAAAAGAGAGCTGCTCGACCGCGCGTTAGAAGAAATGATCGAGACCAAAACGGTACGCCCCTCAAACAGTCCGTGGGCATTTCCTATTGTCCTGGCGCCCAAGAAAGATGGAACAGCGCGTTTATGCGTGGACTATCGACTTCTTAACGCCATAACGAGAAGGGATGTATACCCTTTCGCATCGATCTCGTCCGTAATGTTTGCTCTGGGATCGGCAAGCATTTTCACCACTCTTGACTGTAGTAGAGGGTTTTTCCAGATTCCTGTCGCCAAGGCTGACACTCATAAGACGGCCTTCATTTGCCAGAGGGGTCTATTTGAATTCGATCGACTTCCCTTTGGCCTGTCTAATTCTCCCGCAAGCTTCCAGAGGCTCATGGACACCGTCTTGGGGGATACCAAATTTAACTGTGCAATGGCTTACATGGACGACGGAGTGGTGTTTTCAAAGACCTTGGACGACCACATTAACCATTTGCAGGTTGTTCTGCAGCGGATGAATGATGCAGGACTAACGATTAACCCAAAGAAGGTACAGCTGGCGTCAAGTAGGGTAGCGCTTCTTGGATTCGTGGTGGAGCATGGATTCCTTCATCCACAGGAGAAGTTGAAAGCAATGATAGAATTTCCCACTCCTCAGGACAAAAGGAGTCTACAGCGATATCTCGGCATGGTGGGATCCTACCGCCAATTTATATCGAACTGTGCCGATTTGGCCCGACCTCTTCATGAGCTGCTGCGCCGGGATGACCCATGGAATTGGACTGCAGCTCACGAGGAAGCATTTAGAACGCTGGCAGTCGCCATTGCCGATACAGCGTCCCTCAGTCTTCCCGATCTCAATGCCACATTTGTGCTACAAACCGACACCCGCGAGTACGGACTAGGAGTAGTGCTTCTGCAGGAACATAATGGGGCCTTACGACCCGTTGCATTTGCGAGCCACACACTGTCGGCAGCGGAGCGTAACTATACCGTCACCGAAAAGGAGTGCCTAGCAATAATATTTGCCCTAAAGAAGTTCGATATATACCTTGACGGAGCCACCTTCACAATTCAGACGGACCACCAAGCGTTGACCTGGCTCAAAAATCTTAAAAACCCAGCAGGACGTCTAGCTGGATGGGCTCTCACCTTACAGGGATACAATTTCTCCATTGAGTACCGGCCTGGCAGATCCAACATTGCGGCTGACGCCTTGTCTCGCGCCCCCCTTCCACCCCAGGAAAAGGAAGAAGCGACGGGGTTGGTCGCTGTTACTAACCTGAAACTTTCCTGGGGTGAAGTTGTGACCCGGGAACAGCTGCTCAGAGCCCAGCAAGCAGACGATATGTGCCAGCAGATATCTACGCGGTTAAATCAACCCAGTTCCAGGGGACAGGACATGACTGATGCACACACAGACACCTACGTTCAGAGTAACGATCGCCTTTTACTTTGATACATACCTCAAGCAGATGAGGGTGACCCTACCACGTCGCCATTTCGCGTAGTCGTGCCGAAAATATTACGAGGTACTTTTATAAGTTACTTTCATGACAGTGTCCTGGCAGGTCACAGTGATGGAAAAAAAAACTACCAAAAACTCTGCCGCATTGCAACCTGGCCTCGAATGAACCGCGATGTCTTGCGTTATGCCCGCAGCTGTCCTAAATGCCAGACAGCAAAACCCCGAGGCGGGAAACCCCTGGGTTTCATGCAGTCGGTTCAGAGTCATCGTCCTTGGGAAATTGTTGCGTGTGATATCATGGGCCCATTTCCACGCAGCCCACAAGGCAACAGGTACCTCCTTGTGGTCACCGACCACTTCTCCAAGTGGGTCGACCTTCATCCCCTGCGTCAACTTACGTCCAGGAAGATATGGGACAAACTTCGAGAAACATTTTCCTGGTTTGGGTATCCTGTTGTCCTCTTAACAGACCAGGCCACCTACCACACCAGCACTGTATTTGAAAATTGCTGTGAGATTCTCGGTATCCAACATAATTGTACTTCCCCTTATCACCCCCAGGCCAATATCACTGAAAGAGTAAATCGCAACCTCCGGGCAATGCTAATTTTGTACACTAACGAACACCCCGACTGGGAATCTTATATCCCAGAGATGGCCTTTGCTACCCATACCACAGAAAACCGAACAACGGGATTCACGCCGGCACCATTGAATTTTGGTCGGGAGCTAAGGGTACCCATGGAAAACATTATAGAGCTTGCACCAGATGCTCGCACGCGCCAATCACACTCAAGGTTTGCGCAAAGACTCTGCGGTAATATCCGGAATACAGTGACAATGGCCCGGGGGAATATCGAACTAGCCCAATCACGACAACGAACCCAATATAATAGAGGCCGGAGAAACGTCGAATTTTCTGTCGGAGATCTAGTTCTCCGACGCACTCTGCCACTCAGTAACGCCAGCCAAGGATTTTCCGCTTCACTCGCCAAACGACTGGAAGGGCCATTCGTGGTCGAGACGCGAATTACACGCCTCGCATATCGATTACGGTGCCCCATAACCGGCGCACGCGTCGGACCTGTTAACATCAATGACTTGAAACCTTTTATTGAACGTGGGGAAGAGTTTTGAGAGTTCAGTAACGTCGTCTCCATCTTGTCTTATTGTGCCTCTTCCTAACCTCGACTACCTGCAGCCATGCCGCCAGACCGACCGTGGTCACGGCCACGCTGCCCACCCCCGCGGCGGTTGTTTTACCATCGGTAGCGCTCCCACGGCAGCGGCAGTCTAGGCCATCGGCCGCCTCCTCAGCACCCACGGCGACGCCCCCGAACCCATGAGGTTGCGACGTGGTGCATCATGAAGCATCACAGCCTCGTGGGGTTCGCTTCCCGCCTGCGCTGGGACCAACAGCCACAGGTCCCACAAGGACTGGCGCCGGCCGACGTCCCAGAACCATTCCAGGGACGCACCCTGAATGAGCTTTGCGCAGAGGACACGCCGTCGACCTACACCAACGAAGAGCGTGCCGGGTTATGCGCCCTGTGCCACGTGCCCATGATAGCGGGGGAGAGTCATCTATACGGGGCCCTCCACACTGAGCGTCGCCAACGATAAGAGAACAAAGCATCGGCAGCAACTCGGCCGCTAACATCCGCCGACGTCGAGGCAGCGCTCATCGTCGTGTCGAGATCGTGCCTCGGGAGGCTTAGGGCGCCTAACCAGGCAGCACACGCACACGAAGATGTCATCATTGACGAGTTTTAATCCGCCTCCCTGCTCCCTCCCTCCTGCCTCATTCATCAAGCCAACGGCCCCGAACACGGTATAGAACACCAGGACCACAGTGAACGTCTCCCGTTTCAGCGCAGGCGTCGAGAGTCAACACTTTGCAGTCGAAGCTCAGAGTGCCAAAAGCCAGAGTTTGCTTCCACCGTCCTTCCCGACAGCCGTCGCGCCACCCCA